AAGAAACAATTCGATCACCGAACAAAACTTTGCTCATAACCACGCCAAAATAAAGTGTTTGAATTGGAAGACGAATGGATATTCCCCCTAGACATTTGAATTTAATTTGGGTGTCATTTAAGTTAGGGAACAAAACTAATTAGTTATTTCAGACAATTATGCTAATTGATGTGGCTTAATTACTATGTTTCATTACAAGGTAAAGCCTTAATGATATTAGATTGAAACGCTTTGTGCATAAATCCGGGAGGCTTGCAGGAGAGCCGCAGTCTCAAAAACATCCACAGCCATGCAGTTCCTGAGTAGAGTGCAAGAAAAACTTCGCAGGAATAGTGAAAAACGAAGACAGATATTTCTAAGAAATACATCACTGGAGTTGCTAAAATACGTAGTCGGCGATAGACATTTTCCATGGTGGATAAAGCTATACTTTATTTCGATTTTTGCTTCGCTTATTTACGTGGCTGTAAATCTAGCGGTTCGTGTTTTTGTCAAATGGGAGGACACACCAGTGATTATTGGAATTAGTTCAACGATGACTCCGATTAGTGAGATTCCATTTCCTGCCATAACAGTTTGTAATATGAATCAGGCAAAGAAATCAAAAGTAGAAGACTTAATGCCGTAAGTAAACCCAAAATGCATATCTACATAAGTACCAGAGAGATAATACAAATAATTTCAGTGGTTCGCTAGGATATTCCATGCTGCAGAAAACTTGTTATAAGGAGAATGCTTATGGAAATTCTCCAGAATCTAATCATCGCTATAAAAACGAAACGTTCCCAAACTTTATACTTGATGTTTCTGAGAGATGCGAAGATTTGATAGTCTCATGCACGTTTCATAAGAAAAAGTTGCCCTGCACTGATATCTTCAGAGAAATCTTTGTAGATGAGGGCTTGTGCTGTGTTTTCAATTTGTTGCATCCCTATTATTTATACAAGTTCAGGTAAGTCTTTAAAGGGCAGGAAAGTTGGCAATTAAAATATATTTTATTTTAAAGGTCAACTTACATTCGGGACTACACCTCGACGAATAGGTTCGCAGACATTGCAGTGGATTGGAATCCGATATCTGGCTACCCACAGAAGCTACCGTCCAGCTATTATCCACGACCAGGTGTTGGCATTGGCATTGCCATGGGCCTACAAATAATACTCAATGGTCATGTAGATGATTATTTTTGTTCCTCCACAAATGGACAGGGATTCAAGGTTCGCTGTTCGAAGACTACACTGTATCCGCATGTTTATAAATCATATTTTTAAGGTCCTTTTGTATAACCCAATCGATCAACCACGTATGAAAGAATCTGGACTACCAATAATGATCGGGCATCAGACAACGTTTAGTATAATTGCGCGCAGCTTTGAGGCCCTGCCCAATATTCGTAACATCCATCGAACAAAACGGCAATGCATTTTTAGTGATGAAGAAGAACTTTACTTTTACCGTTATTACACGCGACGCAACTGCGAATCTGAATGCGATGCATTGTTCTTCCTGCGACGGTGTGATTGTATTCCCTATTATCTTCCCTTGGTGTTTTCCAATGCCACGGTTTGTGAGGCGGCTCAGTTTGATTGCTGGAACAATGCGGAACTACAAATCTTTGACGAGGAAAGCTCTAAGTGCAAAGACTTGTGCCTGACCAGCTGCCATGATCTGACTTTCTTTCCTGAGGCTTTCACCACACCTTTTAGCCAACAGGACCTGAAAGCCCAGAGTGATTATTTAAAGAATTTGTCAAACGATTATATCCGAAAAAATTTGGCAGTGGTCAACTTTTACTTCTCAGAAAATTATTTTAGAAGCAATGTGAGGACTTCGTACACCGGAACAACTGAATATATGTGTGAGTGCCTAAAAAAATATCTAATTTGCAATTACTTAAGTCTGTGCATTCCTCTCTTAGCTTTAACTGGGGGCATCATGAGCCTTATGATTGGATTTAGCGTTATCTTTATCGCCGAATTTCTATATGTTGTTGTACTATTTGTCCTATCATTGTTTTTTAATTTTTAATGTGACTGACTCATTCCACTGTTCTACTTGAAACACACCGAGTCCCCTCAATAAAAATATTTGTGAACGTAGCAGCCCTGTGTATGAAAGTGTTAGAGTGACCATTTTGAAGTTCAGACGGGTATTTTTGATTGATAAATCGACGGCCACACTGGTCGGCAAAGTGACAAGCAAAAAATACGAAAATGGTTCTTGAAAGTACTATGATATGGTAAATAATGTTTATAAATTAATAAATCATATGCAGAACTCTGACGGACTAACGCAACTACATGCCTGTTTGTATTTTCAGTTTTGATAACAGCGACTACCAGCGCAATGGGGATTATTTCCCCACCCGTCTGAACGTCCAAAAAGATGGAATCAATCTTGTTTGTTTGACCAAACTGAGATCCAATCCCGAGAATAATGTGGGACTAATGACGCTGTCCAAGTGAGTATTGTGTGGTCCATGGTTTAAACAGCATTTGTTAATGATTTCTTTATCAACTTATAAGTACCGTGGAAGTGCTGGCCACGCTGACCAGCGATGTGGGACGAATTTTCTCTAAAATGCATCTCATCCAGCCAAAGGGTGAGATAAACCTTCTGACCGGAATACGCATTGCCCATTTGGTGTTGAAGCATCGTCAAGGCAAGAACCACAAAATGCGCATTGTCGTCTTTGTTGGCTCGCCCATTTGCCACGAAGAAGGAGACCTTGTGAAGCAAGCTAAACGCCTCAAGAAAGAGAAGGTGAATGTTGACATTGTTAGCTTCGGCGATCATGGCAACAACAACGAGACGCTGACTGCTTTCATCAATGCACTGAACGGCAAGGACGGCACTGGATCGCACTTGGTTAGTGTTCCTCGGGGATCTGCTCTGTCCGACGCACTGCTGTCGTCACCGATTATTCAGGGCGAAGATGGATTGGGTGGAGCTGGCTTGGGAGGAAACGTGTTTGAGTTCGGAGTTGATCCCAACGAAGATCCGGAACTGGCTCTGGCCTTGCGTGTGTCAATGGAGGAGCAACGCCAACGCCAGGAGAGTGATCAACGTCGGGCCAATGCTGATAGCACTGCACCAGCTGGAGCCGATGCTACTGCCACCTCGGGGCAGCCCATAGCTGAGAGCGGCGCAGGAAACGCCGAGGCCAATACAGAGGAAGCTATGTTGCAGCGGGCCCTGGCCCTGTCCACTGAGACCCCGGAAGACAACTTGCCAGACTTTGCCAACATGACCGAAGAGGAACAGATTGCCTTTGCCATGCAAATGTCCATGCAAGATGCTCCAGATGATAGTGTCACCCAGCAAGCGAAGCGTCCCAAAACTGATGAAGCCAACGCACCCATGGATGTGGATGAGGACTATTCGGAGGTTATTGGCGACCCGGCCTTTCTGCAGAGTGTACTAGAGAATCTTCCTGGGGTAGATCCCCAGTCCGAGGCAGTGCGCGATGCTGTTGGCTCACTGAACAAGGACAAGGATAAAAAGAATGAGGAAAAGGACAACCAAAAGAAGTAAACACAAACACACCTTTCTTTAACACAATTAAATTTCATAAGTTTCTCTGCGCATTAAAACCATTCGAAAGCTTGTTAAATTACGATTCAAGTGAAAATATATCTTACATACTTAAATACACAAAAAGTACGCAAGAATGAACGGATTGTTCATTGTTTATTTACTCTGAAGACTTCTCTGGCTTGGGGACCATATAACTGTTATTTCTGAATTGTATGCATGGACAGAACAGTATGGACAAAAACACATGCATACATACAATGTATGAGCTTCTGAGACTTCTGGTAAATCGATAAAAAGAAAAGGATTAACCGAATAAAGCTTACATCCAATTTAACGACCGTTTACAACATAATTCCGACATGGACTATAAAAATTCACGTTTAACTTCAATCTATATTCCTTTATTCATGTTGCACAGGAGCACCATTAATATATTGATACTAGACTTCAAAGATGTTGGGGAATTATTAGATCATCGCTTTACTTCTCGCCCTTGTAGTCACGGATGTGATACAGAACCCAGCCGGGAATAAACAGGGCCGCTGCGCACATGCCACCGCCAAGAATCACTTTCTCCTGCAAGCATAAAGTATTATTCATATTGTATGCACATTTTCTTTACGAGACATTCTAGTTATGCAACCAGCTGAACGAGTACTTACAGCCTTTGAGATGTGCTGGGTTGGTGGGCCTGAAACCACGGATTGGCACCGGCTCTGCATGGCGCTACGGATGGCTGGAACCAAGAGACGAGCAGCGCTGTTTTGGAACATTTTTAATTGTTTTTATTTTTTTGCAAGCACGGTCGAAAAATCGGGTTAATATTGGTTTAGTGTGACTGTGGATTTATCGATCGAAATACACCTCTGAAGCTCAGAAATATACCAAAATATTCTTTATAATTTAGTGAATATACCCAGGAAAATACTAACTTAACCCACCTATAACACCTCTATTTACAAATGTTTTTTTTCTTTTTTTTAAATCATCGCAGGGATGATCGGATTTTTAACATTTTAAGCTAAGAAGCAGATAATATAACTGTGTCACACACACAAACTTTTTAATCAAAGTTGAGTTTGTTATCCTTGGAACATTATAATTTATATTTATATATATATTGGTAGCTTTCTAGGGGTTTTCCAGGGTATTTTATCGATATGTGATTTGAATGAAAAACTCAAATACAAACTTGTAAAATATAAGGTAGTAAGGTATACAATCCAATAAAATGAGTATTTATAATAGGCAAAATTGATTCTTCAATCGGTTTAAATTATTGTTTCAGTGGTGAAAATCTTTGCAAGCTAGTAATATCAAATAGAACATCAAAATCGAGGAATCTAATTTAAGACTACGGTATATTTCCGGTATATTTTGAAGATGCGACGGTATATTTCGGTATATTTACGAGGCCCAGGCGGTATATTTTATCGATAATTTCGCGGTCACAAGTAACATCTGTCATGTGATATTCCATTGCCTCGAAAAAAACTTTGCGATCAGACTTTCGTGCCTTATTTTATAGTTTTCATTCCATTCGATTAAATAGCTTGGCTAGACTTCAAAATGGCTGTTCCCGACTACGTGCCTCCCCTTATTATCACCTGCATTTGGGGATTCATTGGAATCATCTGCCCGTTCTTTGCTCGTGGCCCAAACAAAGGGTGAGTACTTGGCATAAACCAAAGCAAACACAGTGAGCAACATGTAGTCTTATGTTTTTCAGAGTGACTCAATGCTGCCTTATGCTGACCGCAACAACATGCTGGCTGTTGTAAGTATTTGATTAGCTCAACCATTTGCTAAATGTTAATGTCGTACCTTAATTGTCATTGCAGTTGGCTGTGCTGTTACATGACACAGCTGAACCCTCTGATTGGGCCTAAATTGAGCATGAACGAAATCATGATCATGGCCCGTGAGTGGGGCAACGAGATCAAAGACACCATGGATGTCGTTGTGTAAAAGTAGTTCTTATTTACACATGTTTTGTTATTACATTTTATGTTCTTGCATTCTTTATTATTAATTTCGTTCAAATCATAAAATAAAAGGTATTATCAAAGTATGCGAATATCTCAAGGTTTTTAGCTGAAGACAGATTTTTGCCAAAGCACAGCACAGGCTTGCAACCAAGAGAAGAAGCCATTGCGGACACAACCACATATATTTTATCTTTCTTATCAGTGACAACAGCCCTGCCCCGTTCAATATAGGCTTTCCGTCTGCCTGTTCATGCCAAATATCCCACATATCTCTTTTTTCCAATCTCAGTATGTATAATGATACCACGAGACTTATCACGTTACAGCTGAAAATTGTTTGGCTCTGTTTAATTATATTGTAGACGAAAGTGATTAAATATTTCAGATAGATACAATTACTTTCTGGACCTCAGTCACCATCAAACTCTGCTCGCTCTATTTAGACACTGTTTCAGGGACCACCACTGCTATTTTATTACTGATTGATGCCCAAATTGTGTCATTCCTCTACATTCCTTGGAAATAAAATTAACATTGTAAAATCGCAACCAAAAGTCAATAAAGTACTAGCAAAAGTAGAATTTACTTGATCTATGACTTATTTTGTGATTAAATCAAACAATTCTGTAATAAGTTATTTATTTAGTAACTATGCAGTATAGTATATGTATACATCACTTTGAATAAATGACGACTAAAGTGTATAATATTTCTATATGCATTGCTATATATTATTACATTATCGAAATGTTTATTTACATTTGAATTACTAATAAAATGTACAATTTTCTTAATTTATTTAAACAATAAAAGAAAACCAAGAACAAGGTTACGTTAAATCAAATCAAAAGTGTACAGAAGGAAAGAAAGAAGAATATGAAACAATGGCATATGAACTAAAAGCGTTTGACTAATATTTACAGACAATCCCACAATATATACCTTTTTACTTAATTTCTACCGCCAGATCATCTCATCTCATCACACACACACAACACACACACAGACCAATTATATTGGTGCCGAGAACATAGAAATGGCTGTTGTTAGTCGCGTGAGATGGCTTTGTCAAAGGCGAATGAATGAAGCAAAACAACATTTTAGCGCAGCTATGTGTTTACAGAACTTGTGGATGTCGGATTTGCTGTGGGCGGAGCTGGTGCTTTTAGATTAGTTGGAAGCTGTGCAGCAGGAGGTGCTGAAAAGTATGTCGTAGTCGCTGGAACGTTTGTGCTTAAAGCTGTAAAACCAATATAGAGGTAGAGTTGAACCAATGTCGGTTAAAAATGTTGACACAAACACACGTCATGAGTAATTCTTACATTGGCGCAGAGATTTTTGAAACTTTTCGTATTCCACATAATGTTTCAAGCGCAATTCGTCCTCTTCGATCAGCTGTCTCTGGCGCAACAGCAACAGTCGCTGATGTTGATTGGTGCCCAAGCGTGTATTACACAATTGATTGACCAACGAGTCCAAATTGTGTTTTATATCCTGCAATAAATACACGAAACATAAGCAAAGTCTTAAGGAAACACCGCTCTAGCTCTTACAGATTGTATATCGCTGGGCAATAAATGTGGATGCGTTGCAGCTAGAGATACAGGCTCTTCAGCAACTGAAAAACAGAATAAATAAATGAAAGAATGCATACAAAAAGGGTTTGGGTTTTCGGGGGCTTACCTTCACCGGGAGATACATTAAAAAGCGGCTGCATAACATGCTGCAATGGCTGCGTGGGCTGCTGGGATCCCATCAAAGTCGCCTGTTGCAGCAGATGATTGGGAACACCAGCATGGAAGCCTTGTTGGTTCGTTCCACAATTAGCATTCTGTTGATTATACATTCCTGCAACGTTCTGTTGCGGCTGCTGCTGTTGCTGCGATTGCATTTGCATTTGCAGTTGCTGCTGCTGTTGTTGTTGCTGCTGCTGCTGCTGCTGTTGTGCCACCATCTGGTGCTGGGCCGACTGCATTGACTGCATGGCAGTAAGCTGTTGCTGCATTCCCTGGGACATGCCCACAACCTGCGGCTGTAGGGAATGAAGTTGATTCTGTTGCATCTGCATAAACTGTTGAGGTGCATGATTCTGTTGCGTTGCTGGTAGAGTAAACTGCTGTGACCCCTGCTGTTGCAGTATCATTGGTTGCTGCTGGGTCAAAATTGGTTGCTGATGCGCCACCGACTGCTGCTGTAGAGTATTCATCATCTGAGGATGGACACTGGACGGTGTCTGTTGTGGCATATTAGGATGCACAAGTTGCTGTTGCTGCTGTGGCTGTGGCTGCTGCTGAATGCCAGTGAGTGTCACTTGTGTGCCGTTTTGTGTCATCACTTGTGGCACTACATTTATGCCGCTATTAACCATATTTTGCATCTGCTGCTGCTGTTGTGGCTGCTGCTGTTGGTAAATCAACTGTATTCCGTTAATGGCCAGCGGAACATTTTGTATCGGGGAGTTGATGAGTTCTGTGGGCGTATTCACCATACTGCCATTTTGCACAGAGCTATTTGTGGTATTATTCTGTGTCTGACCCTGGCCACCAGGGCCCAATGCCGACGACAAATCGATCTTTAGTTGATTCTGCAAACTTTCCTCAGCGGCTGCTGCAGATTTCTGCTCCTGCACTCGACTGACACTAAATCGCGACACTTTACGGGCGCTTGGATGTGTTGTCGCTGTCTCATCAGCCGATGGCTTCGGACCCACTGTCAATGTGGCGTTCGTTTGCGGCTGCTGTGGCTGAAAATATCAAATTAAAAGTTTTAGCACCATTTATAACCAGTTAGAGACACTTCCTACCTCTTCTGCATTGTCCGTATTCCGCAACGCTGCCAATTTCTTTTCTAAATCTGCTATAGAGTTTTGATTCAGCGATCCGTTGCTGGGATTTCTTTGCGGCACATCATTGGCGGTGGCCACAGTAATGGACGTATTCGGCGCCTTGTCCAAGCTGCCCTGCTTCGAAAGTTGCTTCTCAGCTGTCGTGCTGCCGGGTACGATAATACCAGTCGCAGACGCCTCAGTTGGTGTGGGATCTGAGCTGGTGGCGGGTCCTTCAATAATGGAGGAGGGAGTGCCATGCAACTGGATATCGGAGCCCATGCTGTTGTCCATAGAAGCTCGCCGAGAATTGTAGACCGAGGAGCCAGAAGCATTTTGGCCAACTGAAACTGCCGATCCACTAGCGCCCACAGCATTACTAGACTTGTTTATCTAAGCAAAGGAAATATATTACAAAATGCACATAAACATATATTTTTGCTATTATTTGACTACCTCTTGCTGGCCAGTTGTGGCTGTTAAAGATGAAATTGCTGGTGATGCCTGATGTGGGGTACGTGTACTAATGGATGCCACCACAGCGGAGGCAAACGCGTGCGCATGTGTTATGTTTTCCAGTTCGATCTTTAGTTGCTCCAATGTGTTGGCTGCGCCTGCGCCGGTGCCTTGCACTGCCGTTGACTGCTGCCCAGCGGATTTATCTTTGGGCTTTTCCGTTTCCACTGCCGTCTCTTGGTGACTGTTGTCCTCAGCTGGCTCTTTCGTTTCTCTGCTGGGCATATCAAACGTAATCTTGACACCGCTCAAGTCTCCCAAACTCCTGGTGTGCTTGAGGTCCTCTTGGATGTTCAAGTGCCGATTCAATGGCAGATTCAGGCTTCGTGGCGTTGCTGTACCACCAGCCGACTCCAACAGCTTTTGCATGCGGGTTATGGCATGTCCGCGTGCAATTTGTTGCACACTCTGCGAGTTATCTTTGGCCAGTGCATCGCCCAGCGTATCGTTACCCGTTGGCGTTATATTGTTATCAGGCATATAGTCAATGGATAGCGATGTGTACTCCGAAGCTGTGCTTGTCTTACGTGACACCGAACCGGACCCAATGGTTACGTCGTTGCTGCCATTGCCCGCATCCCGTGAAGCCGTTGAAGACGATGACATCGTTGAAGCTGTATTCGGCGGCGTTCCAATGTTCGGCGGTTGATCCATATTGGCCAGCATCGAAGTATGTGATCTAGCCTCGCTAGTCTGATTGGTTGTGTTTATCGTTTCAGTGGTTGCTGCTCCTCCTCCGCCAGATCCACTGCCAGATGGTAAGTTCTCAATGCCATGTATGGTCGGTTCAAACATCTTGGTAATGTCACTGGCGGTTTCATCCCGCTAAAGAGTGTTTCGGATAAATATAAACCATATGTGAATCAAAGTGAATCGAACTCATAATTACACTGGTGCGAATATTTAGTAAACTAAAAAAAGAAACTCTTCTAATGTGATACGGTAACCGAAATAAGTGAAATAAGATCACCCCTAAAAATCTTAAAAAGGAACGTAAGATTATAAAATTGTTTCCGTCTGGCCTAAACTAATTTAAGGTGCTCGTTATGTAGTCAATTCGAATAGTTTTGCGATCATCTTTCCGTTCTGTCAATAGTCAATTTCAGTACATAAAATTAATAGACAAAAACACAAATTGTTCTTTTTGTTGCATCGCAAAAAGCCTTGCAAAATAAAATGTAAATGTCTCTCTGATAAGTGAAATCATGTTAGCTATAAAATATAATAATATATATTTTATGTTTACATAAGCCCAGTGCACTTAACACTTACAGATCTATGTCTTTGGTGTGACCTAAACGTGGAACGCTGTCGAGTTAGAGACGCGTGACGGACCTGTTTTGTTATAGTAGAGATAGACAATCAAATAAACATGGATTTATCTGGACAAATATGAAACATTAGATTGATTCAACAAGGGTTTTGGTTACAACTATCAAGCTCATCGCAGCTTTGCTTACAAAAACCGAACTACAACTTAACTAACGTTAGTCATGGGCTAACTCTAAATTCTTTCGAGTTATTCGATTATAAATATTTGAATGCTTCAATTGTTTGTATGGAGGTCCCACTATCAGTTTTGATCTTTTGATCATTATTATTTGCCGATTGAACAGTATGAAAGTAAATTTCGTAGAAGATCTTTGGACAAACACATTTGCTTGGATAAAATAACTTTTATAAGTTAATGCTGAGAAGTACGGTGAGGGTTTTCTTTCATATAAACTGCGGAACTTCCGGTTCGAAACTAACGCCCATCGATAGAGCTTGATATTTAGACATCAAGAACAAAATTTTGTTCGGGCTCTGCAGCATTATGGAAGAATAAAATTGTACTGGAGAGCAGAGTGCTCTGTAATAGTGGGGGTCCTTCCATGAACGCGATTGGCAATTGTAGTCTGCAAAAATAAAGTTGGTTTTTGTTTGGAAAGCCAAGTACCTTTTCAATATTGCGGCGATAGTTAGTTGGTATTGGAATTTGATTGGGATTTTGTTTGACCTGATCAACAATTTCATTAATCATTTCCACAAATACTGTGCTTTGACAATTCGAAAGCAAATCTTGGGCGATCTGAAAGACAAAAGGTACGCTGAGTGGATTGTTTTGGGGGGGGGGAGAGGAAGGCCGTCAGGCTGTTGCTCTTACCAATTTATTGGCAATTTCAACGGGATTAACATCTCCAATATCGAATTTGAATGTTATGGTCTTTAGCTTGTTCTCCATGTGGCAGTTGATGACGCTACCCTCATCCACACTAGTGACACTTAGTTTTGGGATCCGTTCGTTGCCACTCCGATTGGAGCGTCTGGGTTTTTGCGAGCGATTTGCGCTCTGCTGCCTTTGTTGTTTCTCTGCTTCCGTGGTTAATTGTGGATCAGCTTTTGTCGTAGCTTCAAGATTTAGTTGAAGGCTGTTGACTGGCGTTACAATTGACTCAGTGACAGCAACTTGCTCCTGGCCTACAGGCTGTGCCTGTGGGTTCTGCGGCTGAATCTGAATATGCATCTGCATCTGCGGCGGTGCCTGTGCCTGTGCCTGAACATGTTGCTCTGTTAGTTGTTGCTGCTGCTGCTGTTGCTGGTGAACCATCGACTGTGCCTGCTGCTGTGCCTGCTGCTGTTGCTGCTGCTGCGACTGCTGCTGACTGAGCAGAAGCTGCTGTAATTGTTGCTCCAGGGGCAATGATAGTTGCATGGATTGCGGCTGCATAAATTGTTGCTGCTGCACGGAGACTGTCGCAAATGAAGCATGCTGTTGCTGTGGCTGCTGTTGTTGAGCATCACCGAGAGCCATTTGCCCACTTGGTGGGACAGCCATCTGCTGGCTCTGTTGGTATGGTTGCTGCTGCTGCTGCATTGTTTGGGCCACAGATGTTGGCGGTACCTGCATTTGTACTTGTATTTGCATGGGCACCTGTTGCTGCTGTTGCGGGGCCATTACTTGAGCTCCTGCAAGAAGTTGTTGATGCTGTTGCTGCTGCTGCTGGGGCAGAGATTGAGCATGATATTGCTGATGAACAAACTGCTGCTGTTGGTGTTGTTGTTGCTGCTGCTGTTGGTTCTGCTGTAGCTGTTGCTGGTTCTGCTGCAGTTGCTGCTGCTGGTTTTGCTGTAATTGCTGCTGCGTTTGTTGCAGCTGCTGCTGCGTCTGTTGTAGCTGTTGGTTTTGCTGCAGTTGTTGATTTTGCTGCAGTTGTTGCAGCTGTGCAATTTGTTGCTGCAGAATCTGTTGCTGCTGCTGATGGTTCTGTGTGGAGGCTGCCGCCTGCTGCACTTGCACCTGCTGCTGTTGAAAGGATTGCTGATGAACTTGAATTTGTGGATGTGGCTGGGACATGGGCTGTTGTTGTTGTTGCCCCTGCATCGCATACGGATGCTGTTGTTGTGGTTGTGTATGTGGAATTTGCTGCATAGAAACCTGAGGCTGCGGCTGCTGAAAATATTGCTGCGGCTGCTGCTGCTGTGTCATTTCCGTGGGCTGAACATTCGTTTGCATTAGCTGCTGCAGCTGTTGCTGCAACTGTGGAATTTGGTGACTTTTCTGCGGCTCGCCGCCCAGTGGTTGTTGCTGCTGGTGCTGAAGTTCATGCTGCTGTTGAGGCATCACCGATTGCATGGTTTGCTGCGGCGGAACCTGTTGCATCTGAACTTGCTGAGGTATTTGCTGTGCCAGCAGCTGCTGGTGCTGCTGTGCCACTGCTGTTTGCTGTTGTTGCTGCTGCTGCTGCTGCTGCTGGTTGACCTGTGCCTCAGCTATGTTTGACTGCTGCACCATTTGATGTTGCTGCTGTGGCACCACTATATGTGGCGCTACATTGGGTTGCTGTTGTTGTTGCTGCTGTGTGCCCGTTGGCGAGAGGACCTGTACCTGCACCTGGCTATTAGCAATGTCCTGTATCAAGTTGTTTGGGTTTTGGTATGAAGCCAGCTGCGGATTCTGTATATAATGCACTGTTGACTTTTGCTGCATGGATATTGCTGGCGAGGCCAGAGGCACTTGCATCGATGGCTGCTGCTGTTGCTGCTGCTGCTGCTGCTGGCTGCCACTTGTCTGAATCGATGTGTTCGATCGGTTTGGAATATTCTGTGGATCAACACTGTTCGTGGACATGGCCAGGCTGGTTTCCGAGTCGGTGTTTAGCAGATCGTACTTCAGTTGCAGCCGTTGATTCCATTTGACACCATCCTCCTCATCCTCAGAGTCCTCTTCATCCTCCTCATCCTCATCGACATTGGTGGGGAGACTCTCGCGCTGCTTTTGCAGTGCTAATTTCTCCAAACGTGACTTCTCGTTCTGCAGCTTGATTTGCGTCTGACGCTGGGCACGTTCCTTGAGTAGCGACACAACCTGAACCTTCAGAAGGCGTGCAACGGCGCGCGAATCGTCCTCTGAGATAATGTTCTCCTTCATCATTTCCTGAGCAATCTTCTCGTAGTCGTCGCTGGTTATATTATATTCAAACTGAATCGCCTCGTTCTCCTTGTGTCGGGATGAGCGTTTCTTTGGGTCCAGGAATCGCAGTCGGAACTCAATGATGCAAATGCTGGGATCGGAGAGGAACTGCTCGGAGGCCGTTGGCTCCACACGAATGCCAATGTCCTCGTCAAAGAACTCCGACTCCAGAAGCTCATTGCAGCTGGGGCGATCTTCTTTCTTCAGCTCAATGCATCGCTCGATGATGTCCCTCACATTGGGATCCTCCACTTTGGCCAGAGCGGCTGGCTTTATGCCGGAGATGACCTTCTTGTAGATCTGGGCCGGTCCCTTGCATTCGCTGTACGGATATTCCGATATTGCCATCTCCAACATGCACATGCCAAAGGCATAGACATCCACCGACTCATCATAGTGCTCTTCGTACATTTCGGGGGCCATAAACTCGGGTGTGCCGATCACAGATTTGGCATGCGAACGATTCTTAAGCGTGGCCAGACCCAAGTCACCGATCTTAACGCTACCCGTGGTGCCGGTTATAAATATATTATCACATTTCAAATCACGATGAATTATAGGAAATTGACGAGTATGCAGAAAGTTGAGTCCCTTCAGGATCTGGCGACACCATGACTTCAATACCTTTGGGTGTATCTTTTTGAAACGCTTCAAATAGCTACAAAAATAAACACACCAATTACAATACACATCAGAAAAAGAAAGGCGCTCTTACGATTTCAATGTCCCGGACAACATCAGCTCTGTGACTAGTACAATATTCTTTTTACGGCCGATCGGAAACTCCCAATATGTATAGAATCGTACAATGTTTGGATGCTGAAGCTTCTTCAACATGTCTGCCTCCTCGCGGAATCTGGTGCGTTCGCTTTTCTTCACTTGCTTATCCTAAACAAAACAGAACAATTATTAACTGGGGATGTTGGCTTTTAGTTTAATTTCTCAGACTTACCAGCAATTCGCACCAGGCCACCGGCACACCAGTCAATGTGTCGAGGCCACGATAAACGGTTTTAAATGAGCCACGACCGACCTCTTTGTCGTATTTGAAAAAGCGTCCGCATGGGGACATGGCCACAGGATCATCATCCTCATCACTTTTACTCTTTGTTATCGATGTGCCGGACGATGTGGTCGAGACCGTCGCTGTCGAGGGCAGAAGCGATGCCGATGTGTCCGCCGAGGTTCCAGTTAAACCAGAGCCCTCAGAACTTACCTCGGTGTTGTCCGACGACTCCTTGGCACCCACATCGTCAATGCTCTTTGGCTTCTTCTCTTTGTGAATAGTCTCGGCATCGTCTTTCTCCTCAACCTGAAAGCCAACACGCTTCACCCCACCAGACTGTTTATTGGTGGATTTTGATGGCACATCATCGTCTTCAGTCTTCTTTTCTTCAACAACAAGACTTCGTGACGCTTCGGTAATAATGTTCTCAATAATACCAGCCACTTGGTGAGCGGACGCATCTGGGGCATTCGATCGCGTTGGCGTTCGAAATTGCTCCTCCAAATGTTCGGCCTCGCGTGACAGCATCTCAATGTTGTCATCGTAGTCGCGTGGAAATTCCGTTTCCAGTTCCACAAACTGCATCGGATTGGCATTTCTGGTCGATTGTTCAACATTCTTGCGCACAAATCGCATATTCTGCACAAAGTTGGCCGTTAGAGTCGTTGGCGTCGACGACTGGGGCGCCGAGTGTTGCTTGATCAACGCCGATGGCTCTATCACCGTGTCAGAGGAGGACTTTCGGGCCTCCATTTTTCCAGTTTTGATTTCAGATGCCACTTTCGGTGATTTATCCTTGCCCAGGTTGCTCCTGCTGCTGCTTTTCGACACTATGCCACCGCCCTTTTTTGGTTGGTGGCTTTTCTTGTCTGGGGTTTCACTTTTTCCCCCATCCATTTTCTCTTCATTGTGTTGACCTCCGACCTCTGCTGTAGCTGTGACCAGAGCTTTTTCCAGCTCGCCGTTATTATTGATATTCTCGTTAGGTGTGGTCGGTTCGTTTTCGCTTATATTATTCTCCGTTTTGCTCGTTGTGGTGGTGGTGCTGCTATTACTTGAAAAGTGTCGCAGAAATCGCACTAGAATATTGTTTCTGCTCTTGGAAGCTGGTGCATGAAGCCGTGGCCAAGAGGAAGGTGATGATTGCTCAGTATGTGATGATGATGTTGATGCCTCCAACGAAGATAAGTTGTTGCTTGTGGGTGCAGAAAGTGCCGGTGATGGTGCCAGTGCCAGTGCCTGTGCCTCTTGCCTTCGATGGGATTTTCTACTATTTATTGTGTCTTTTAGTTTTATAGTCGGGTTCTTAATTTGCCTTGAGGAGGCAGACTTATTAAACGAACGGTGTCCCGACTTAGTTCCTTGCACGGGTTGCTCCTCGCTAGAAACAGAGGTATTCCTGTATACAATAATATAATATTAAAGGATGGGTTGGTAGTGAGTTTAAGCGATGAATCATCACCTTTGAGGTTGCGTGGTGCAGGAGGAAGTACCATCTTCGCTGATGGAGCTTCCCTTCCGAGCACTGTTTGGGGGTACGACCTCTTGCTGTCGTACAAAGTCACAGAGGGTTTGTCCAATTTTGTATGATTTTCAAACAGAAAAACACCAAGTTTAATCTAAAATGACAAGAAAATGTCAATAATAAATGTTAGTATATTAATTCAATAAATAATCCCAATGCTTCTTTGTGGGGTCAAATGGGGCAATTGCTCTGGGGATCTTGTTACGGCACACTAGCGACAATGTATGTACAAATATACTTTATATAGATATGTAACTAACTGCTTGGGTGAGTGTGCGCTGGGGCAATATCTTGTTTACAGCTGTGCTGTGCGGAAATCTGTTTTTCTTTGCGGTCTATCTTTCATTGAATCATAAGCATAAGTTCCAAGTGCACTCCCTGTCGCAGATAAGTACAATACACATGATTTGGATATATGTACATACACGTACATACGTATGCACTATACATATGTTTGGGTTTTATTGTAGATAAATGTGTGTTTGTGTTTGTGCGTGTGTGTTTGTTTGCTAGGCTCCAAACGTATGTACACCTTTTTAACCAATCTTAAATTGATTGCAGAAAAAACTATACTATGAGTGTGTTGGGTTGGCGAAATGTGAAAATGTTCATATGTATGTAATATGTGTGCACATATGTATGCTTGTGATTTGCTAGACTCAACTGTTTGCCAGCTTTAAACACTTTGGGTTAATTTAATTCACTTATACACATGAATGTACCAATGTACATATACGTATCCCATGTACATATTTATCAATTATATCCAACTTGACGCATGAAACATATGCACATACATATGTACGGGAGGGTTATGATGTCATGGCACTCATGTCCGTGCTTCACCACACAATTTCTTTAAAAATTTGATTACTGTCACTGTTTTGTATTGTTTTTATTATGTTTAAAGGAACTTTGGTGTGTGTGTTAAGTTTTCATAATATTACACAAATCGTTCTGATTTCTGTCCATATGCATTGTGATTGTGATTGTGTGCTTCCAGTTTGCAGACGGTCGCGATGGTTTGGTAGTGCGAAATATTTACGACAAATATTTGCTTAATAATACATTTTCACAAACAAGCAACCTTGAGCCTTTTTTACAAAGAAAATTCTTTAAAGAAAATTTTTACAATTTTTTTGGGTTGCACGACGGACTTTCGCACGGTTGCATTTTAGGCTGGATTTTGCAGTATTTTCTTTAAATTTGGTATTCGTCTTTAGTATGTAAACGTGTGTAAACTATTAACAGAGAAACATTTGGATGAGCCATGTTAACTGATAACATTGAAAAATTTGTGTTTACGCTAAATTAGCGCCGGAAGCAACTAGAAATTTGTATATGTAAAATGAATTTGTATCATTAAGATATTGAATTGTAGCATTAAGACAGACTCACAGAAGGTTGTTGCTATATAACATATGGCGGCACAAGCCATGGTGCTGAGCGTTAAGTTCTCATCTGGCTGCCACAACCGTACCAAACAAACGTCAGCGGTTCAAATGCTAGTAATGATAATTGCTAATAATGATAACTGAAATAAGATTGCCAAGTACCCAGAGAGGATATTTAATAATTGTCTGCAAAACAGACAGATCTTAAATAAAGCTGAAACATTTTCTTTCTTTTCTTTTATTTGAATATACTCTCACCTCTTTTTCATCCGCCGTCGGAGGCTCCAGCCTTTCTCACGCCTAACAACAAAAGTTGTCTCAAAAATCCATATCCCCTGTCTAATCTAACGTCGGACTCAGTTGCTGTAGCTCCATCAGAAATCTTTGCTTTGCTTTATGCCACCACACCGAAAGATATCTAACTACATCTAAGCTCTAAGCTCAAAACGCCGCCTGATAAATTTCGAATCATTCAAAATTCTTCTTCCCGATTCTCTTGTATCTGCATGAATTCAACCTGTTTGTGACCATATTCTGGATTGACTAGGAGTCCTTTTTGATAACAAGCTATTGATTTGCTTAAGGGAGTCCTGGCGTTTATTAAGCGTTGTTCAAAAGAGTATGATCCGTATATAACTAAAACAGTTGCAGTATTGTTCTTGTGGAGTCTCCATACAAGGATCAACAAATTCAAAATCAGTTTTTAATACCCTTAGAAATCTTATCTATTATCTATTATCAATTTTGCGTTTCTTCGCGTTCATTGTGTGCCGAGACCAACATTTGCACAAATTATAAATTATAACTATTTAAATTAGCAAATTTGTAAATTTTACATTTCCTCCTCTCCGGTACTGATATTTAATTTATATGTACTACTCTTCTCATTCCATAATAAGCAGTTAATTCTTAATTGAAAATAAATAAATAAATAAATTAAATATACCATATATTTTCCATATTCTAATATTAATATATTCTATTTCTATCGTTGATGTCATGTTACATGAATCCTTCAACAGGTGCGAAAAAGGTGGGAGCTTTTAAAAGCTCGTCCTTTCTTACCTACTTGCCATACCTTGCGGCCACATGCCAAAGAGAGGATTAGGTCACCTGAGAGAGGAAGAGACTCTCTTCTCATTTTATCGATTCAATATGAGCACAGAAATATATCGATATATGTTGTGAAACTATCGATCGATATCGATCAAAAATACCAAAATATATCTTCTCATTTACAAAATATACCGGAGTCTTAAATCATATTTCTTGAGTTTGATGTTCTATTTGAATTTACTAGCTAGTTAGGCGTCTTAGCGCTAGAACTATAATTTTTTCCGATTTATTAATAAATTCTCCTTAAGATTGGCTAGTTTTCACGACTTCGTTTTGTTGGAATGTTTAAAAATTAAGTTTAAAACTAAAAAGGTACACCAACAAAAATGCCACCACGTATATCTTACATGATTTATCTCGATTTGTAGTTCCATTTGCCAGACGTTCCGATATATTTCGAGATTTATGTTGTTCCTGGCCGGCTCTTTTGAAGTGTCACCCTAAGATTAGTAAAGTGATTAAGAAGCGGAATTCAAGTGGATTAAAATGGATGCACATGCCTTAGAAGTTGTGTTTGGAGAGCGATCGGGCGTGCGTGTGAGTCGAGTTAGGGTCTTGACAAATAAAAACATGATTGTTCCGCTTGTACTCTTATTCATTTTAGCGCAACTTCTGTTTCAAATAGAATGTACTGAAATATGGTATGTTGTGTATAAAATAAATATCTTTAATTTAGCAATTACTGAAGGGGGCTCCAGATGCGAAAAAGGAAATACTTTAAAATATGACTTGCCGAGTCTTAAGTATATGAGTTTATGGTTTTAATTTCAGTTCAAAGAGGGAATTACATGCATTAATTCTAGCTAGAGGCGGAAGTAAGGGTATTAAATACAAAAACCTCGTTGAAATAGCGGGACTCTCATTGCTGGCGAGAACAATCATAACAATACAAAATTCTGCTTGCTTTGATCATATTTGGGTGTCCACAGATGACAAAAGAATTGCTACTGAGGCCGAGAAATGTGAGCAACCATTTTCACCTATTTAAGTACGTTTAATAATTTTGTTTTATTATATTTGCAGATGGGGCTATTGTGCATGATCGGCCTCCAGAGTTTGCCATGGACGATACATCTTCTCTGGATGCTATCAAAGAGTTTTTGGACACGCACAAAGCCATTCATAATTTTTCTCTATTTCAGTGTACTTCTGTGTTTCTGAAGGAAAAATACATTAAAGATGCTGCTTTGGCATTTAGAAACCATGACTGTGTGTTCGCCGCTAAGAGGTATCATTTTTATAAGAATTTTATTTATCTTCTTATCTACACGATCACTAATTTTTTAGGTCGCATTATCTAAGATGGGAATACATTGATAATTTTCTGGTTCCCGTGGGCTTTAATTCAAAGGCCAGACCAAGGCGCCAAGATTGGAAAGGAGATATCGTGGAGACAGGAATGTTTTATTTTTCAAAAAGACGATTGGTAGAGAGTGGAGTGCTACAAAATAACAGGTGATAGATCTCTCTAAATATATCACGATCAAGCGAAACCTAGCTGAAATGTATTATTATCTGTTTAGGTGCTCAATTGTTGAAATTGATGATGAAGATGGGTTGGAAATCGACTCAGCCATAGACTTGACAATAGCACGATGTATTATTAATAATAAAACATAAACTTGACTCTTGCCAGAGAGTATATTCATATAAAAGAAAAGAAAGCAAATCAAATAAATCGGTGATTAGTTAGACGATAGTGATGACATTTTCATCATTATCAGGTATTTCTTAGCAAAAGGAAGGAATAAATACAATGTATAAACCGGAGTGTAGCCCCAATTATGTTGTAAAGGCCACTACGAGCTTATTATAATATTTACTTATGTTCCCTTTGTGCCATTTTAAGAAAAACAATAGAATTTATTTTCCTCTTTTGTCGCGCGCGGTATTTTTCAAACCTTTTCAATGACAGCAGTTAACATACATGTGTCTCTACATGTTACATACATTTACATACTGAAGAAAAAGCTCCCTTGCTTCCAGAAGGGGTGACTTGAATGAAAAAACCCAATGGTAATTAGTAATATATAAGGTCATAAGGTATGCAACCCAATAAAAAGGAGTATTAATAATAAGAAAATTGATTTTTCAATCGCATTAATTTATTGTTTCAGTGGTGAAAGTCATAAAAATGCTAGTAATTTCAAATAGAACATCATAATCGAGGAATATGATTTGTGATTACGGTATATTTACGATGTATTTTTAAAATGAGAACGCATATTTTGGTATATTTTTAAGGGTTTTGCGGTATGTTTTATCGAAAAATGTTGTATTGATTGTATTTTGGGCGAATAAGTTTTATTGAATTTAAGAGCAGAAACAGTTTTATTTACGAAAAATGTGCATAAAATGAATGTGTAACTCGTATTCAGGTAAAATATACGCACACAGAAATGTGGATATGCAAATTTTGCATCCGTAAACAGACTTGTATGCACAAACAAATGTAAATAGCGCTCATTGCAGTATATGTACATATCACATGCACACATACATATATACACATGCAGGTGCATTAAAAACATAGTGAACATATATGTACATTAATAGACGCAAAGATCCGAATCAAAATACGTGCATACATATTCGCAAATAGGCTACACCTAAATGTATGCATGTACATACATATTTACATATGTATATTTGTGCAAAACTATTGGCACCAGTGAAATCGCCCACCACTCGGTCTCATTCTTATTCCACCCTGTTCTGAAGGATAGGCTCCATTGGAAATGTTTGTTTTTTAGAGCGGGTATAAATCACGTGTAACACACAGAAGGAACCTTTTCAGATCACATGTACATATGTACTTGTATTTGTATTCTTGGTCAGGTCAGCATCAATAGCAGAGTCGATATGGCCATGACCGTGTCCGTCCCCGTCCCCGTCTGTGTGTCCATCCTGCCTATCGCCTAGTTCTCAGAGACTATAAGAGCTAGGGAACCGGATTTTGCTTTCAGACTCTTGTGCGTTAGGCTAAAAGTTTTCAAGACACAACAAACCGCCAAATACCGGGGGCGAACGGTTCATTATAAAAGCCAGAATCTTTCCCTCTGCAATATTGCAGATTAAATGATCTTTGTGTGGGTTCTTATTTGTGAATAACTGCAGAGATAAGCCTCGTTCCATATGGGCTGGATGATAATAAGTAGTTTCCGTTAGGGTTCTCTATTAATGTAATGGAGTATTTATGATCGATTGAAACAATGCAAGCGACAAATCTAATATAATATTCTAATCTATGCAAATATAAGCAAACAATGAGTATTTTTATGTTGATAAATATTTGCGAGTATCTAATAATAAGTGTGTATATCTAATAATAAGTAATGGCGTGCTTGTATCTTATACATAGAAGTTCAAAAGCATTGCAATCGCCTTTATAAAATTCAATATTTTAATTTTGATACTTGCAGAAACTCGATAGCCTTTATGTGGTCAATAATGTTATTTGACTTGCAAGACGGAAAACCTTATGACGTGAGTAATATAAAAAATATTTAGTTTATAAGTGGAATTTAATGCATGGATACCCACTACCCATTGATTGCCCAAAGCGTCAGCGCTAGGCTATGCTTGGGTTACGCCCAGATGTACACATTTTGCGTCATTTTGTCTAAAATGCGATCGCAGTAAAGGCAATTAAACTTGACGCCCTGATACATTTCCAATGTTAATCGTATTTAATAGACGATCTAAATGATGATCTAGCTTTACTTTTTGTTGAAAAGAAAATGTTTCAATTCACACTTCTGTTTACATAAATCGTGGCAGGACAAGATTGCGAAGATCCTACAATTTGAAATTTTCTTATGGTCGTAGGTTTTCAATAGTCCTTTTGGATTTTGATGATACATTGATCGAATTTTAAACTGATCTTCTATACTTAAATCCGTAATCTTTAAATTCTTACGTTTATCTGGACTGCACTCACGGAATCGTTCCTTATTAGTTTTAATTTCCCAGCCTTGATAAATTAAATAATTTTGGTGTGTGATCAAAAGGATTCCATCAAATGAACCAAAACCTACCGTTTCAAACACCTACCGTGTTTTTTTTTTACCAATTTTGCTTTCTACCACTCCCAGATTTTTGAGCTCCCTGCTCTTAATTTTGAATGCACAAATATGATGATTTTTGCAAATATGAAATGTATTGAATGTTAAATGTTTCAGCTCGCGATTTTCTGTCGATTTACTGCTGCAACGCCCAAAAGCAGAAAAATTAAAATTTCGTTTGTAAACAATTAATTAATATAAGTTACTTGTAAAAGTTATTTTGTTAGTTAATTTCTTGCTGGAAGCGAAATTTAACGAAGTAAGAATAGCAGCAGATAATTTCAAGTAAATTAATTAATTAATTATTACAAATGAAATTATTTTTATACTTTTAAGTTGCATTTGTAATAGCGCTAAATTAACATTTATTATTAAATTAATGTAGCAAAATTTATATTTTTTGGTGAATACATTTAAGCAGGTAAGAATTAAATAAGTTTAAAAAAAATATTTTGATATTCATCAGAAATTGTGTAAAAAATTAATCGAATAAACAGTGAAAGTTTGGCAACCCTATTTTGTTATTCTTAACACAAAAAGAAGAAAAAGAACCCTTAGTGAGTAGAGAAAAATATGGTTAACCAATAATCATCCTGTATAGAGACGAGAATTGAGGCGCATGCGCCTGAATGCCTGATTCGCTTAGTCCTTTGGTACACATCAGGTTGGAAATGAAATATACAACTTAATAGAGTCAAATACAATTTTTTTTCTTACTTATTATCAAAAAAATTTGACGGGTCGAGTCGTCGCTTGATCAAACATTATATGTGTTCGTTTATATCGTGGTTTAATTGAATTCATGCACATCGGAACGTTAACGTTAACGTAATGCAGTAAGATGCTTTTGAAAATATCGATTTAAAGTTGGTTTTTGTTCAAAAACAAACACCAGGTCAAATGTGAGAAGTACTGGCGAGGAACAGCCACTGAATCCGTTTAGAATAAATTCAAATAAATAAGTATAAGTTTCTAGTAAGTTACTAACAGAACAGTGAAAAGCAAAACAATGGGATGCTTAAGTAGTAAAGACCGTTTAACTAAAGAAGACATGGAGTTTTTGAAAACCCACACAAGATATGATGAAGCCACCATTAAAGAGTGGTATAAAGGATTTAAGGTGAGTCAACGACACTTACGGCGACACCTTTTCCTGGAACAACAATCAAAAACTATCTAATTTTCGTTCCTTTTTGTATAGCAAGATTGCCCCAACGGGCGTTTGACGCCAGCAAAATTTGTCGATATGTATAAAATGTTTTTTCCATCCGGAAATGCGGAGGAGTTTTGTGACCATGTTTTTCGTACATTTGATATGGACAAAAATGGATATATTGACTTCAAGGTAATTATTATATTTCATACTATTCAAAAGCATACACCACACATGCCACATTTTTCGTTTCCGACCATCTGCTCTATTGGATGTATAATTTTTTCCATAATTCGAGCAAGTGTCTGCAACAGGCAGAAGTAGGGTCCAGATAATATGTCCATCCGTCTGCCTAAATGTACACTAAAATCCACAGATAAATGGAAGTGTATTTATTATTCAGGCTTCGTTTTCTGTTCATCCCTGGGGGACAAAGGGAACGACGCCCATCAATTAATAATAAAGGGCTCCCCAAAAACATACATAAGTACACACGCACCGAATCGGGGGTGCTCTAGCTCCAGATCAGATATACACATGTACATGGTACATGGTTAAAAGGTACTCGAGTCAAGGTAAGGTAAGGTGAAGCACGTGTTTTGGGGTGGGGCATGTCTATTGCATCTCGCTTCGATTTTTATTATAATGGTGGGGGTCGTTGCCCTTGTTACTGGTTAGTAGGTTACTTCGTCGGTTAGTTATTTTTCGTTTCGTGACCGTGTTTGTATGTTTGTGTAATTAACACTGTCAGGCATTACATATTTTCATCGATTCATCAGAAGCTGGAGCTTAAAGAAATATATCTAAATTTGTTTTGCAGGAGTTCTTACTCGCAATAGATGTTACTTCAAGCGGAACACCAGAGGAAAAGCTAAAATGGGCCTTTCGAATGTACGATGTTGATGGAAATGGTGTCATAGACATACAAGAAATGACCAAAATTGTTCAGGTATGAAAATTGGAAAATTATCTAGGGCAATTGCTCCTGGCAAGCACATTAGAAAAGTGCAAAAGAGAATGTGCGAGGATGTAAAAGCAAAATACTTGCCATGTGCAAAACGAGGCACACTGTTGCTCGTAGATGATTCGCACAGTTGTTGCAGTCTTCCAGGACAAGCTCTCTTACTAAAGTCTTATTATAGAATTTTTAAAATAAATATTCTTACTTTCTTATTAATTTGTTAACTATTTCAGGCAATTTATGATATGCTTGGAGCGTGCTCATCCAATCGCCCTGCAGACTCCGCGGAAGAACGTGCAAAAAATATATTTGCTAAGATGGACGAGAATAATGACGGTCAATTAACGCAAGATGAGTTTTTAAAAGGATGCTTACAAGATGAGGAGTTGTCCAAAATGTTGGCGCCATAAACAATTATATCCTACAATATGTGTGTATTTGATGAAATCAGTAATGAAATGTATAAATATTTAATTTATATTTCTTATACTAAAATTAAACTATGGAATCATTAAAATATTTGCATTGTATAAGTCTCATTCCAATTTAGAATTGCCTCTAAATTTGGTAAAATATCAAAAGTACTCTTATATGGGGACGCTAATATCACTGGGCCCCATTCGGAGCCGCAGCTAATACAAACTCTTAATTTTAATAAATGCTATTCAACTAGTATCTGCTGCGACGATATCTTTTAATAACTAAATATAAGTGTGTGTATTTATGGATTTTACAGGCAATTTCTTATTTGATGACTTGTTTTTAATGCAATAAGAATATTGGTCACGATTGTAAACTAATAATATTTCTAGCTAATTTTTTTTATGTTTTGTATGTAGTAGAAACTCGCTTTCGGTCTGTTTATTTTGGCCTCGTAGAAACGAGCTCGAAATCTTGCTAACTAACCCTGCGGCCAGCTTAGTTTTTGAAGTAGCGATGAATACAAAAAATAATTATCATTGGCTGATAACGAAACTGTTCTCTGCTGGCTGTGTCTGTCTTTCTCTCATCCGAATAGGCTGTCCGTTATTTCGAGGACTAGAAAAATAATGCGAGGGGGATTTCTTGCCGGAATGAATAAATATATTAACTGAAGTTTTGCAATGATAAAATACATTAACTCAAATTCTTTTTTCCTCCAATCCCTTTGGAAAATCAAGACATTAGTTACTGTAGCTATATGTGAAGTTGGAACCCGCTCTTATTGAGAAGAGGAAGGAAAAGGAATGCCTTAAAGATTACTTGACATAGTGAAATTCTTCGATTGATTCTCTCAATGCATACTTAATGTAAACATTTATTTGGCTCATCATACCCTTTTCTAATCCACTATATGTATATTGCATTTACAGATTACTCTATAATGAAATTGGTCTAAAAAATGGGAAAGCAAAATAGTAAACTTAAGCCGGAAGTTTTGGAGGACCTTAAACAAAATACAGAATTCACAGGTAAATATATTGAAAATATTTCATTATGACTCGTCGCGTTTAGATCTCTATGAAAAATAGAAATCTCTCGATCAATAGATGATTAATTGTCAAAATTTTTTAGATGCTGAAATTCAAGAATGGTATAAAGGTTTTTTAAAGGACTGCCCAAGTGGCCATTTGTCTGTGGAGGAGTTCAAGAAGATATATGGAAACTTCTTTCCATATGGCGATGCGAGCAAGGTAAATACATTTCCACCATATTTCAACCTTTCTATTAATATATTTTTGTTTGGAATTATTTGCTATATAGTTTGCAGAACACGTTTTTAGGACGTTCGATGCAAACGGCGATGGCACCATAGACTTCAGAGAGTTTTTGTGCGCACTAAGTGTGACATCACGAGGTAAACTCGAGCAGAAGCTGAAATGGGCATTCTCAATGTATGATTTAGATGGAAACGGATACATATCGCGGCAAGAAATGCTGGAAATAGTTACAGTAAGTATTTTATATAATTAAATAACTTCCAGTCTTTGTTTATAGATACTACTATGCTATACTTCCGTATAAATCTCACTGGGAGAGAGCTAGCGAAAGAGTGAGGTGGCTATAGCTTAGTCAAAGTGGAAGAGGGATAGATTCGATAGGTCCCTGATAGATACCCTGCCAGTTTCCCGGACATCTATAAAATATTTAATATTACTTTGTATTTCCTCCTTTAGGCAATATATAAAATGGTTGGCTCTGTAATGAAAATGCCAGAGGACGAGAGCACTCCAGAAAAACGAACGGACAAGATATTTCGCCAAATGGATCGAAATAAAGATGGCAAATTAAGCTTGGAAGAGTTTATAGAAGGAGCCAAAAGTGATCCTTCAATAGTTCGATTATTACAGTGTGATCCACAGTCCCATTAACTGAAATAATATTGAAAAAAAGCAATAATCATTTAATTGTATAGTGTAATTGCAAATTAAATTGTTTTTATTTCAGTGTGGAAATTATGTAAATTTCTTTTTAAATAAATAGTTCTTATAATATTATATAATATTTAAATTATTAAAATTGTCTTTTTCGAACCACCATAAATATGTTTTTATGTGTTTTTCTTATGTATAGTGATGGATATTGGTATTACTCGTAGTACGGATTGTGTTCAGCTGCAAAACATCTGCTTAAAAAAAATACATGGGGCCTGACTCTCACCTATGTACATACATATGTACCTCCAAAAAAGATGACATCATAATGCAGCAATAGTGAACCATAAAAGTGCATTTGACCACACACCCGGAGCAATCCTACTTCCATCAGTGATTCCAGCGCTGCCCCCACTGTATATTGATTGCATACTCCGAGTAAATGAATCCAGGGAATCCAGTGGTCAGGTCAAGTTCCCAACATTAAGAGTAAAATGAACACAGAGAGTTGTATGGAAGCGCAGGTTTTTTAAAATATATTTTTTCACGACGGAATAGGAATAATGGTTAATACAATTTCAACAAGATTTTTTTTTCTATTCCTTTTACATAGTATATAAGCATTCATTTTCTATATTCAGAGCACATTCATTTAACTCTTGAATAATCTTAAAGTGATTTCAAAACAGTTCTGAGACGGTCCAAAACAATGTTGGCATGGTATTTCTTAAACACCAAGGCTGGGCGGAAGCGAATAGAAATATCTCCACATCCACCTGTTTGAACACCGGTATGCCTTAGGGCGGTTATGATACGATCTCTTACACTTGTGTTGGTACAATTAATGGCCAAAAATGTGCCACGTCCACGCGTGGAGTTTAGAATGGTTGGGAATTCCTTTTCCAAGTTTAATAGCCCGTCTTTTAGAACCTTTCCGGTTTCATTTACATTGGCCAATAGCTTTTCCTCCTGTATTACTTTAATGATCTCCTCCAACAGCAGCACTTTTCCCGGGTCTCCCATCCAAGTGTTGAAGATTCGATATGGCTCATTGGGTACAAAATCATCGTTGTGGAAATAGCCACCCAATTGTAACTTTTTACTGAAGGTGACAACATCGGGTGGCTGCTCGAAATTGAAGTGTTCATGGCACCAGAACTTGCCAGTGCCGCCGCCTCCGGTCTGAACCTCATCGATCAAGAGGGCAACACCCCGCTTCTTGCAAATACTTTGCAGACCTCTGAAAAATTCTGGCGATGCTTCATTGTCACCTCCCTCGCTCTGAATGGGCTCAACAGCAACGCCCGCCACGGGATTGCTCTTCTTGGCGTATTGCTCAATAAGCTCTTCCACTTCACTCAGACACTTTGCGTCTTCCTTTTTGTTTTCGGCCACATTTTCATCCAAAGGGTATTTGTATTGGGGAAATGATGCTACGGGCCAGTCAAACGATGGAACATCAATCTTATGAATATACTTTGAATGTGTTGTCGACAATGCTCCTAGGGTGCGACCATGGAATGCACCTTTAAACGATAGAATGCTCAGTTGGGGAGAGCCTGGGGCCTGGTTTATCATACACGAGCATTTTTCCTGCTCCGTAAAGGCTGCCTTTCCACGAAGTTTGTTTTGATACCTGGAAAAAATTGAGTTAATAGGTTTAAAAATGTGTGTGTTTCCAGTCTTCTTCAGTTCCAAAAACTAAATAAATATTTTTAGAAACTTACCAAATAAAGATGCTTTTATATGCATTTTCGTTTGAGCATGACCCACACATCATGGTAGTTATTTTGTTCAATCCTTTGGGGGCAATGTTCATCAAAATAGAATGCAGTTTTTCGGGCCATTCTTTTCCAGGAAAAACCCCAAGAGCGGGTCTATTGATTAAAGCTGAAGCACAGAAGATGGGAATGTTCGGTTTTAGTATCTGAATTGGGAGGGCAACCTCAACCACAGCCGAAGTATTTCTTACTTTTAAGGTTATTCTCATCTTTGAAGACGTTGATGAGTCTCGGATGATTATAGCCCAACGGTACAGATGAAATTTGGGTGTAAACATCCAGTAATACATTTCCGTCAACATCGCAAATATAGTTTCCAGCGGATTTCTCGTAATCGGCAAACAATTGAATAGTGCCGGTGCTCTGTAAAAGATTTGTTTATTCTTGGTTAATGGTTTTATTTACTATTTGAATGCGTCCTTGAATGGGCCTTAATTCGGAGACAAATCGATGAGCAAATTGTCATACAAACATAAGAAGAGCAGAAAACAAAGGACACCAAGGAAGCGTTGAATAAAATAATCACTAAACCAATACAGCTGCGATTGTTTTTCTTTTTAAGAATTATGTAACTATTAGGAATTAATAGTTACATATATTTTATAATAAAAGGATATGCACTTTCACTTTATTGTTTTTTAACACGCTTTGAAATGTTTATTGATTGTTTGTTGAAAATTAAATATGAAGCTAACCTGAACAGCATCCAGTTTATTTTTTAACTCAAGGGACTTCGGTCCGGGTATGGCCTTGCTTTTCACAATAGGCTCCTTGGGCTCTTGGAGAGTTGAGTATCTGTTGAAGCCCAATCGATACACACCTATAAATCAAATTTATCTTAATTAATTTTAACGAACTGCAATAGGTATTTTCAAGTGCACTTGTATGTGGGTTTTACATACTTTGCTTTGTCAGCGTATTTAATAACAAATGCCTCATAGTTATCTTTTAATTTTCCTTTATTTATGAACGATTTTATCAATAAGAGAGTTGAAGAGACACTAATATTAAACAGAAAAAAGGTTGTTATGCGGAAAGCACACGTATAAATTGACTTTGTTTGTATGTATCCTTGTTTGGATCTAAAAAAATGTGCTATCTCCGAATTAAGGCCCGTGAAACATCATGGTTATGCGTCATTTACATATGTAAATTCACAAGTAAGCATAAATATTTTTAAATATACAAATCGAAACATAAATTGACTTTAAAAAATAAAATAAAACTGATTACCAAGTTATGTAATATAATAATATGTAATATATGTAAATATGAAATGTAATTTTATGTAAAAAATAGAAAAAGCTGAAACCTAGTGGATTGTTCTAAGATTAAGAATCTTAAGAAGATTAAGATATAACCAGATGTTTATAGCATCTGGGGTATTGATCCTGATGAGTAAAATCATTCAGTAATATATATTGATAATATTCAGATCAGAAATACGCCTTTTTCAATATTTGAAACTTCTAAGGGAACACTAACACTGGGACACCTAGCAAATTGTTACCTTTTTCTGGACACTATATTGTGTTTATGTACCAATTTAGTGACCGACTGCTCTTCTTTATAATTTTAACGGTCCTGCGGTAGTGCCAAACTCCTTAAGAGAAAATTGAGAATTTGGGAGCTTTTAGTAAAATAATCTTTCAAAGTAACTTACGAACCTTTCAACATTCACCTTTCTGTACGGAGCACCATATTCCCTAGTCTATCCAAAATTCCATATCCCTGAAGAATCTGTTTCTGCCGATTTCTTCAAATGGTTAAGAATGTCGTCCCATATGCAGTGTTTAGAGATTTTTATCCGTCGTTTGGGATATGTTAGGTGTTTAGTTACATCAAATAAATATGTAAGGTTATAGAAATATTTCGTTACTCTTTTTTTACTGCTGTTGCTGAGTTCGATTGGAATATTTTGGAAAATAAACAGTAAGACCGTTTGCTCTTAAGAAAATCGAGCAAACTAAATGCTGCTGTTTGCAAGAAATGTATATTAATTAGAAAATGTTTTACCAGCGTCAGAGCTGGTGTATGTATTTTAATAAATTATAATCGTGGTAATTAAAACCATTATACAAATTACAGGCAATAATCGTGTACCAACTCCATGTTTCAATATCGTTCAATAAATCTATCGTAACTTGACAGTGCACAGAGTTGATTTTGGCAGAAAAAACTATCGATTGCTTTTGATGATAAAAAAAATACACACATATATATAGTTTAAGCGAAGAATTATTATTTTGATATGCTCGACATGAATAAAACTGCGATTGGAATTGCGGCTGGAGTTGCTGGGACTTTGTTCATTGGATATTGCATCTACTTTGACAAGAAACGCCGCAATGACCCCGAATATAAGAAGAAAGTCCGTGAGCGTAAGATGATGGTTGCATTAGTAATGGTTAACATGAGTGAAACATGGTTTTTTCATTTTATGAATAGGTCGCCGCCGCAGCAAAAAATCGGGACCTTCCAAGGCAGGAATACCAAATCTAAATGACCATGAAGCCATTGAAAAGTAAGTAAGCTTGCTCCAAGCTGATTATATAATAAGGACAGCACGTGCAAAAGTACACATTGGTGTGTATGTGTGTACATACAAGCAGAACAGGCCATTTTCCGCACACCTTAAATAACAGCTTTATTCGTCTTATTGAAGCGTAGTTAGCTTACGCATCTGCAGCTGTGTAGATTCATACACATTTATTGATACATACAGCAAACAAACATTTCCACGCTTATGATTGGAGACCAAGGTTGATCAGCCCGTAATGGGCAGTGTTCTTTTGTAAACGCTACAAAAAAAGCTGCAGCATATAATCGCGCAAGCTCACATCTAATTCAACTAATATTTGTTAACTCTTTCAGATATTTTCTGCAAGAAATTCAGCTGGGTGAAACCCTTATTGCCAGAGGAGACTACGAAACTGGTGTGGAGCATTTAGCAAATGCTATTGTTGTGTGTGGACAGCCCGCACGTCTGCTGCAAGTGCTGCAATCGTCCCTCCCTGCTCAGGTATTTGCAATGTTGATTGTAAAAATGCAGGAGTTCGGAAACCGATCTGCAGAGTCGAACGATGTAGGGGTCAAAATGGAAACCAAAATTATAGACAGCTCATCGGTGGCTGGAATTGATGACCTGGAATAAAAATTGTAGAGGGCCGCAAATACTATAATAAACTGTTCAACAATAGAAGATAAGGGCCTCATATTTTAGTTACGTTTCCAATACATACAAATAAATGTACGTAAACTAATGATTCACGCAAGTACCCATATTTTTCTTGTGTGCGG